TTTTGATTTGATGTACATTCCGCATATAATTATTAATCGAAACAAATGAAATTGAATTAAAGTTTTACACAAGACTTTTCTGTACCAGTCTGTGCTTATGATGATGGACATCGGTATGCTATATGCGGAGAGGGAATCAAGGTTAGGACAAATGACTCTTTGATTTCCAAGTGTTCGAGACCACATCACGTGTTACTACTGTTCACCTCTGACCCTCTCACTCTTATCTCCAAATTAGGAAAACCGTTAGAAAGTATACACCCGATCATTACATTAGGTAAGAGTGGGTGTAACAACAACATATAATATAAATCTATATCAGTATTAGGGTTTATTAAGACGAGTCTCAATAAAAGCACTGGCCCGGGTCACAGAGCAATATATCAATATCAGTATACTCACTGATTCTTGAGATATTTCACAGGAAATAACATCATAATAGCCATGACTATTTTTATCTTCTTTTCCTCGTTTTATCATCACTTCACCATACTTTATTTCTGTTTTAGGTATATATTCACCAACATTCTATAGTAATAATGATAGTTAACTAGTACTATACATATCACACTTCTCTCAAATGATCAAAAGTCATCCTGGCTTTTTGGAAATTGGCTTAAATTGACCTTTAAGCTTTGATTATGTTAATATATATTACAATAGGACTTCTAATAATAAGCAAATCCTAAAATTCATCAAGTTTAAATTTAGCCGAAAATATTTCTGTTCGAATTCAGAAGGTTTAATCGTCTTTTCCGATTTCTGATTAGCTTGAAATAATTACATTTTCCTTTTTGTCATCTAAAGCTATGATCACTTTTGTTTCTGAGTTTAAAACCATTAACCAGAAATCTTCTACTGTATTTGGTAGAGGTGTTTGAGTAGCAATATAACCTCTTTTTTTCTTGTAACTCTGAAATGAATTAAATCAGATTATCCAAGCATCTATCTATGACATTAACGTAGGCCTTAAAGGAATACTACCTCTTAGAATGGACATAAAGTTCAAAGTATCAAACTTGGCCAAAAGGTGTACACTTGCATATTCACCAGTTGGGACTTACCTGGGGGCCAAAACGAAACGATAGAATCTAGAAGTAAATGATACGACTTTCAATAATTATTAAGTTTTTGCAGCTTTTCCTTCATAAAATTTAAAAACAATCTCTAATAAGAAGCAGAGTATGTGACGGTTTTTTTTTACCACAAGCACTTTTAATAACGTTAATTACCGGAAGATAAACTGCGTTGATATAATCGGAAGAATTCTCATAGGCTGATCTCATTATCATCAATCTAGCAGAATTAGCTGAAAAATAACAGAAAGAGAGGACAATATTTTACTATGTTTATACTACTACAATAGAGAAAACTGGCTAAAAAACTAGGGTTAGTAGGGTTTATTCCCATATCGCCCCTTCCCATTTCGCTCCTTCCCAAAGCTCCTCCAATTAATCCCATTTCGCCGCTTCCCATATCGCCACTTGCCAATGGAGAAAGGGGAAAATTAGGAAGGGGGCGATATGGAAAAGGGGCAAATTGCAAGGGGTGATATGGGAAAGGGGCGAAACGGAGAAAGGGACGAAAAGGAAATAATTTAGGGGCGAATTGGGAACGGGCGAAATGGGAACGGGCGATGTGGGAAGACACCGGTTGGTAGATGACAGGTTAACGTTTGTTTCCAACGGATACTGATATCGCAAACTAGGTAGTTGGTAGTCGATGTAGTTGGATTGGATGATTCTGTGCTGTATTTTGTAGTTGATAATTCGAGGTGGGATCCAGTGGCGTGGCGATGAAACTTGGCCTTGGATGGTGTGGCGTGAGTTACTTGGTCTTCTTCATTCTACCAAACCCGTTGTGATCGTGGTAGTTATTGTTGAAAGGCAATCATTGGTTTTTTCAGATTATATGATAATTTGAGCTCTTAACATAGCAGAGCTACTTACACTCTTATGGGGTTTCACAAAACATATGGACAATGTACAAGACAACAAAACTGTTTGACACTGCCACATCATCATTTGTTATCGCCATGTTGTCATCTTTCATGTTTATTGACACATCAAATCGATCTTCATCGCATCTCAAACAACATCCATTTATGAAAACTAGAATTGTGCTATTTGATTATCAGTCTGTTGAAAACTGTAAAAAGTGAAATTATATCTTTCCTCACGTTAACGACTGACATCGGACATTGACGTAACATAGTTTAAAAAAACTGTGTAATTGTAATCAATATTGAAATGAAATTATACATACCAGCTAACACATTTTGATCTCTATTTCTATTTATATTTTCTGGTTTAAGAGCTTCTGAGTAACCATCTTTATCTATCTTACAACTTATTTTATTCATCAACTAGATCAAAAACATAGTTTAAATTGTTATGAATCAAATATAGATCATCAGCTAGTTTTATTTTATGATTTAAATATGTGAAGCTGACAAATTTATAACACTTGTAATTCAGATTTGAGAATAAAGTGAGATAAAGCCTGCTATTGAGACATACATTCAGGCAAGTATCATTCCAAACTAAAAGTTAATTCAATCTTTTTATTTTAAGATAACAAATAGATTATATAACGACATGACCCCAACATCCTCCCAAAACACAAATCATATATACCTGATATTTATGTTGTAATTGTGATGTATTATTATGTTTATCTTGTTGTAGAAGTTGATTATATATTTGAGGATAATTTGTTATTGATGTTGTTGTATCATCAGCTATATACCAAACTGTTAGAGCATCATGAAGCAAGATGTACTGGTCCTGACAAAGAAAAATAATATTAAAACTGGTGGCATGAAGAACACTTTTCATAGTCAAGTATTGATCAAGAACTAATCGCTTCGACTTCTCTCTTAAATGTCCGATTGCTTTACTAACTATATGCTACTCCCTTGAAGGTGATACTTTTAATGTGTAATGTTTTCTGTTAACAGTGCCGGAGCCGGTGTCGTTGTTTTAAGGCTTCCCAGCTAAATTACTTTACATGATTCAAATTATTTTCCGCATATTCTCCATATAAATTTCTGAGCTTACCACAGTCTGGACCATGTTAACTCTTTCTTGTCTCATCTGTGATACACAAGAAAAAATATCTACAGAATTTTCAGCTTGAGCTTGTTGTATCAGATAATCTAAAGCTAAATATGTTCCAGTTCTACCAATACCAGCACTGAAAAAAAACCAACAATTTCGCACGGTCAGAACTGTAAAAGCCAATGATGGGAGGCCAAAATTTTTGAAATATAAGTGACATAAATCATATTACGTATTCTGGTGTATTACATCTTCGTTACGTCAATCCTAGATTCCATTGAAAATACACTAATATTAATATAAGTAGGTCTTCAGTGGTTTGTGCGTCTATTAAGCCATTTAACAAAAACACAAGACAATATTATGGAATATAACACACTTCATTAATAATATTGTCTTGTTTTTTTTGTTTTATGTGCTCCATTGTCTTGTGTATTTGTTATATGTGCTCCTCGTCGCTATATGTCGTTCAAATCTTATATTAAGCCATGGCTTGTATATGCTTATTTAAGAAAACACGCTTGATTTTATTTATGCGTCTCAATATAATTGATATTCCTATTTGGTAAGCCTTTGATGAATTTAAATGAAAACAGAAATAACAATTGAGTGTACTTACCTACAATGAACAATCATGGGACCTGGACGTTTGGATGATGACTTGTTGACTTTATTACGGAATTCAACCAATGAAGCAATATCAGATGGTACACCTTTATCAGGCCATGATGTATAGTGATATTGTCGGAATATTCTTGAATTTGAGTTCTGGTATAAGAAAATATCAAAATAACGTTAAGAAATCTTTATTGTCTCCATTTGCCTCTCTGTCCAAAATATATCATTAAAATACTATATCTTAAGTTATACAGTCGACAAATAAGGCCTGTAATTCTTTACAAATCCATTTTTCCGATCATAAAATATGAATAAGAATTAAACTGACTGAAATATCTTCACCAAAACTTTCATATGAATCATTGTTTCTGTAATCTTGGTAATGAGCATTATCAGTCCCAAAGTTAAAAAATGATTTACGAGAAAATGATGGGAGAATCGGGCACCACAATCAAGGAGACATTGCAACTGCTATGCCAGTCTCAGACGATCAGACGATCTTTGAGCCCGGTTTTTTTAGTCGCGTTAACTTGTATCTACATCGGAGGCGGCTTAAAACATGGCTTGAATAGTTAAGCCAGCTTAGTTTTTCCGTCTGAAAACTACTGGCTAATATGTCTGCGCTAACAAATTCCCACCATTATCATCGTCATAATGCGCATTCGTAATGGTATTCTAACTAAGCTGACTTTTATGTCCGTCTGAAGACTCACCTAAAACAGTAAACCAGACTCGAAGAACGATTGATAGTTAAGCTGCTTTAACTTTAGTCGTCCTGACGCACTATAACCCTTATCTATGCTCTCCTTTGTGAAGACTATAAGTTCAATCCAGACCGAAGTACCATCATCACAGACTTTGAGAAGGCAGCAATTGAGGCTGCCACTGCTGCCTTGTCACCACCCAATACTGCTTTTACCATCTGACTCAGAGTACCTGGCGTAATGTATACGACCTAGGTCTAACTAATGTGTACCCAGGCTCTTCTGGGGTAAGGCTATTCACCAGAATGATTAATTAGCTAGCCTTATTGCCAGTTGATCATATAAAAACGGAGAAAGCATAAATTCGCGGAAACACCAAAGATGATCCTGGTTTGGATTCTCTGCCGTCACACTTTGACAACACATATGTGTATCAGTTAAAAGAGGCATTAAACATTTTTATAAGCCCACATTATAATGTGGTCGTATATTGTCGTCGCCCCAGTCCATCCACAATTGGCTTGTGAACGCAATAGAGACAACAGTTTGTATCTGATTTTAATGAAATATGGTTCGACTAGTTCGAATTTGACCATCTTTCGATGAACGGTTTTTGAGTTATTGCCCTTGAATATTTATAACGATGAGATCTTAGTCAAGATTGAATGTGACGATTTTTCGATCAACGGAATATGAGTTATTGCCCTTGACTTAGTAAAAACGTATCAAAATTTGTTGGCTTGTTAACGCGATAGAGGTGATAGTTTATGTGAGTTTTTATTAAATTTTTTGTGTTTGATTAAATCAACTATATCTTGCACAAATGAGATTTTTGGTATGATTTGACACAGATTGGTGACCGCCCTTGATATACTGAAAATGTATCAGGAAATTGGGCGTATCTTGCTAAGCAACCACTTGTTGGTTTATCAATTGTCTATAGTGAGCATTTGTCTACTTAGCATTACCCCATTAGTGAGCTACTGTCCCGTGGGAAACTGTCCTACACAATCTTATCAATCCCACAGACTGACTGAAAAATTATAGTGTCCGTTGTTACTTAGTGTTGCTTGTCAAACTGAAAATTGAACGGATAAATTTGAACGAAATTCCCAGTATTCGGTCAAGTTTTCCTACTGGCAAACGCTTTAATATTAAATCTCAACCACTGAAATATTATACCTTGGTTATTTGTATTTCTCTTATTGTGAAATGGGCATAAACCTCTTCCTTTATCAGTTTCATGTTAATTTGACCATATTGTTGTGTTTTACCAATATTTGGCCAATACTGCTTACATTTCTCCTGAAATAATATAAAGTACAATAATGTGGGATTTTATATCATCTTTCATGTTAGGATTCCAACTTTTATCTATTAACACAGGATTTGTTACACCAGGTGATAATGCTGTGGGTATCATACGCCCCCCCCCCCCCCTCCATTTCTAGAGAATCGTACAATGGACAGCCAGCATTTTCACGAGCAGGTATCGCCGATAACAACATCATATCCAAACTATCTGTCCTGTAAATGATATCTCACGTTAAGGCGACTACATAACGATATATTAGAAAGAAAGTTGATTTTATACATACGATGGCGTTTTCAAACAGATTTGTTAACATAACTATTTTACTAGCATCAACATCCCATATCATTCTTATAAACTCTTCCAAATTAACTTCAATGGGTCCTGGAATATGATAATATAATGACATTAATCCTAATCTTGATGGAAATGTACAACAAAGTTCTCTTTCGATATTAGTTTTAATATTATAATGAATATTAAAAGGGTTTTGCGCTTTTTTTGTAGATCGAATTTTTCGCTCATTCTAATGATAACTATGCAGCAAAATCTAGACATACGTGTCCCTTAAAGATGGGTTCCCTTATTTTCATTTATAAAAATGCTAATACTTATATGAATAGAAAGTAGAGGTGTTCTAATGACTTGCAAAAATACCAGTTTTTCTCACATGTCCATAATCAATTTATAATTAGTTAAATTAGAAGATAATTACTAGCAGTATTCCAATTAGTGACCGATCAAGAAAGGTCAAAAAATCTTTTTTTGTTTGTCCAGACTATGCATACATGGACATTAATGATTGGTTAAAACTCTTAATCATTTGCAATAAGATCATAATGATATGATTAAGAATACATGATAATTCATTAGAAACACCAATTAATCAAATAGTTTGCCTAATTTGACACTTAAAAATAAGGAAACCCATCTTTAAAGTATCTGAAGGATTTAACTAGAAATCCAGCCAAAACTATGTAAAACAGTACGTAAGTTCGTTATGCTTTTTGGTGGGCGTAAGAAAACTACTGTACTGATTTATGCGAAATAGAGAAATATGCCTCTTAGTTATTCTGAAGGTTTAAACTAATTATATAGAGCCAAGGTCATACTGCTTAATTAACAACCAGTACGCTCTGTTTTTGATAAATAAACGTAAGTAGCATATTTTAGAAATATTTTAAGGTATAATTTACGACGTTTTTGATAATGAAAAGTTTGCATACTGCCCCTTTAATATAATACACGACTATCAATCTTAATTGTTAATTAGTCAGTGACAATAGGGAAACTGTTACATTTGAAAATGTTGTTTAAGTTTCCCTTTTTCCTTGTTCAGTAAGAAGGTAAAAAACGGTCATGTCAAATTATTTATATATGAAAAAGAGTATTCGATGTTTCATCATATGCCCATGATCATGACCATATAAGATTTGAATTTCAGCTTTGAATGATTTAATAGAAACCAATACTTTACCCTGGGATGCGATATACTTCGAAGTCTGATCATATTTCTATAATATGAAAATATACAAATATTCATAGGTGTTATATGATATAATCTGAATTAAGATCATTGTCAGTTAAAACTATAACTTACAGTAATATAACAGATATTGATATAATCTGAATTAAGGTTATTATCAGTTAAAACTATAACTTAAAGTAATATAACAGACATTGATATAATCTGAATTAAGATTATTATCAGTTAAAACTATAACTTACAGTAATATAACAGATATTGATATAATCTGAATTAGTGTCATTATCAGTTAAAACTATATCTTACAGTAATATAACAGAACTTGATATAATCTGAATTAAGATCATTATCAGTTAAAACTATAACTTACAGTAATATAACAGATATTGATATAATCTGAATTAAGATCATTGTCAGTTAAAACTATAACTTACAGTAATATAACAGGCATTGATATAATCTGAATTAAGATCATTATCAGTTAAAAATATAACTTACAGTAATATAACAGATATTGATATAATCTGAATTAGTATCATTATCAGTTAAAACTATAACTTACAGTAATATTACAGATATTGATATAATCAGAATTAGTATCATTATCAGTTAAAACTATATCTTACAGTAATATAACAGATATTGATACAATCTGAATTAGTATCATTATCAGTTAAAACTATAACTTACAGTAATATAACAGATATTGATATAATCTGAATTAATATTATTATCAGCTAAAACTATAACTTACAGTAATATAACAGACATTGATATAATCTGAATTAAGATCATTATCAGTTAAAACTATAACGTACAGTAATATTACAGATATTGATATAATCTGAATTAAGATCTTTATCAGTTAAAACTATAACTTACAGTAATATAACAGATATTGATATAATCTGAATTAATATTATTATCAGCTAAAACTATAACTTACAGTAATATAACAGGCGTTGATATAATCTGAATTAGGATCATCTTCTAGTGGTTCTAGTTTGACTCTGGTATCATCAACTATGAAAAATGTTAAATTCATATTAATTTGTCATCTCATTTTGTTTCAGCATATTTTATAGTATGTTGCTTTTAGCTAGCCAATTGATTATTAATTTCATTTGTAAAAAGACGATTTGATTGCAAACAGGGCAATAATTTTACTTACAAGCACACACATTTTTGTATCTATTCTTTGGTCCATTAATTTCATTCAAACAAATGGCATGTGGCCGACAAAGTCCTTTAGGCAATTTCTGAAGTTAAAATACAAGACAATGTGTAAATAATACCTTGGTACATCAAACCTCCTTCTAAATGAATCAAGTTTGTAAAAAAACTAATATCACTTTTGATATACTTTTAGTTAAAATTAAACATTGATAATGCATTAGTTTTACAAAAACAAACATTAATGGCGAATTTAAGGGCATAGTTTGGACACACATCACATATATATCATAATCCACAATAAGAACGACAAATTCAACAGAAGTTAATAGATATCGGTAACGAAATCGGAAAATATTTCTTTTCATATTGTATTTCAAACACATAATTCAAACAGCGGATGCGATACTCACACTGAACGCTTTTCGTTAGTTGTGATGAAGAGCCTACCTTGTTGTGACGGACGAGGTGTATAAAAGCTTTTTAAGTGTTCAACCTTAATACAGTGCAATGAGCTAATGGTTGGAAGGACTTAATAATTCTAATAATTCTAATAATCCTGTTATCATTTATATCAACAAACCTGATATTGCTTTGTTATTTGGTCTCTTTTGGTTTGACTGTAGTCCCATAAGCCTGGTAAATCTATCTTTGTGGACAATGTAGAGTTAACTATTTCAATATTCTGGTAGATTTGTTGTTGGTTATCCTCATTATCTTTTATTATGTTGACATTTTCGTACAACCGTTTTGCGTTGGAAAGAGACATATCCTCTCTTGTACTTGATTTCAGATCCCTTTTCCGTCGTTTTCTGCAAAAAAGGGAAATTCAATACAAATGCAAAAGACTAAAACTTTGAGAATAACAGATATTAAATTGATATTAGTGAATGAGAATAACAGATAACTGTGTACGTTTAGAATAGGACATGTAACATATACAGGTCTGTTCCATCCCATTCTACCAATGTCATTAATAAATTTAGTTATTAACTACTTTGTCAACTGTCAATATACTGTTAACACTAACACAAGATAAAAAGAAACTAGAAAAATAAGGATTTCCTTGTAATTTATTCATTCATTCATAGTAATTCTTTCGCAGGGTTATGATCTCCTTAGGTTTTGCTTTTAAAAAACGTAATTGTATTATTACAATAATTGACGCGTACAAGAGCACATACTATTTCCAAATCAATTTGTAAGAATAATGGTATTTTCTGATGTTTAACACGACTAATTACTAGCAACTGAATATCCTAGAGCATAAAAAACATTAAAAGGAAAAGTCAACAAGATCCCAAACAACAAATATTTACCGTCTTATAATTATTACTAGACCGATGACAACTACAATAACTACTATCAAAGTAACAGTTACAGCTGATATAATGGTGATACTATTGTCTGCTTTCTCAACTACTATAATATAAATTATATTACTCTCTATATCACAATATATCACGGCTTTATCAAAATCATATTGCCATTATGAAATATGTAGAAAACGACCAAGAAAAAATGAATTTATTCAGAGGGATGGAAACTTGGGGTATAGTTTTATACTCCTTGGGTAGAAATGCAAAGTGTCCTCCTCAGCTAAAATTTTACATTATCCAAAATATGATTTAAATTTACCATAGATGCACTCCAAAAAGAATACTGGTGATTAAGTTTTGTACCTCAGTGCTTTCTCCATACATGCGTCACCGTTAAAACACAAAATCAGACAGATTCTTTCATTCTGTTAAAAAGTAATTTCAGGAAATATAGGTTATTACCTTCTTTACAAGTTGGTCCTTGAAAACCAGCTTCACAGCCCAGCTCTAGATCACAACTACCAGTTACGATATGACAGATAGTTTGGTTATAACAATTACCACAGGTAGAGCTACATCTTAATCCATATGTTCCATTGGGACAATCTGGAAAACATTCAGTGAAATGGAATATTTTATAATTTAATGTATTTTAAATAGACTAGGGATGATATATAGTAATGATCAGAAAATTTAAAATTCAATCACAAAACTAGTCAAATATCAAACATATTTTATATCTATTCATAAAATCATAGTTTTCCTAACTGCACAAACGATGCCTTACATACAGTACATACAACAACTAACGCATCTTGAACGGTTGTAATTTCAAAGTTTAGCCCTTACAGATCATATTACTAAACAGTAATCTCTATCTACCTTCAGCACATTTATCACCAATTTTACCAAAAACACAACCATCGGTACATGAACCATTAGTCTGGAGACATGTCTTCTCAAAACAATTACTACTACACTCCTTGTTACATACATCACCATAATATCCCTTAATACACCCAATAGTACAATAACCATTAGTTATATTACATTTACTCTGTTTACATTTAGAACTACATTTATTATTACATGTATCACCATACCATGTATCTTTACAACCAGAGTTACATTTACCACTAGTTTTATAACAAGTAATAGAGGAATGATATTTACAGTTAATTGAACATCGCTTTTCACATTTATCTCCCCAGTTATAATTCTTACATTCACTACAATATCCATTGTTCTTATCACATTTAGACAGTCTACAGTTTGTAGGACATTGTGACTGACATTTTATACCCCAATAACCATCACTACAAGCTACACAATCACCATTATTCTGGATACAACCACCATTACAATTAGTAGGACATAGTGTATCACATTTATTACCATGGTAACCAGACTTACAATTGTTACAATTACCACTAGAATCACAGCCATCTTTACAATTACTTCCACATTCTAGAGAGTAATAAAATACATAATTGAATCACATATTGAGGAGTTAAGAATCCTTTCCGTTTCGTTTAAGAGGTTTTTTAGATAGTATATCTTGATAGTTTTGCCTTTCTTGTTTGTCTCTTTTTAACAAGATGCCTTAGAGGTATATAAGTATAAACAGTTAAATTATGGCAAAGACTAATGTTTACTGTATTTACGGTGGAACATATGCACATATCCATGCAGATTAAATACGTATAACAAAAACACTCACTTTCAAATATTTCTACTTCACAGAGTGCGAGATATTTGTCTCCTGCTTGGTGGGATTTTCTACACTAATATATACTATACTACCATTAAACTGTATATTTTGTGATTGATTACAACTATTTATATTGTAGATATCTCGTTTTGTTGTACTAGTATCTTTATAACAAACTGTAGATTGTTGATATCCATTATAATTACATTTACCATTAGAACTTAATCTTAGTTCAAAACCATTTAATCTTTCTTGATCTGTAAAGACAACTTTCATTAGATTGATCAAAGTTAACTGAAATTAACTTCTGAAAAGTTAATTAATTAATTAATGAAACACATTCAAATCTTCACTTTTGCACCAGTACCATTGATACTATTTCAAGATTTTTATCTAAAAGAAAGAATGAACCCAAAAAGCTCACCAATTTTGAAATAAAGATAGAGAAACACAAATGCCAGTAACTAGCCGTCATCTATTATCCCCATCAGAAAAATATGACTTCAATATCATACTAGAACTGCGAACAGCTCCCAGTGTGGCAAGCGAATTAAGCCATGGCTTTTGGATCTTTCCGAACTTCTAGCCATTTACTTTTAGCTTTCAACACCGGTGCTTTTAAGCCCACTGTTAGTGAATAAGAAATTATAACTCATCATGTAAATGAATTTTACGAAAAAGCTTTAATCTGTAGTAACAGAGCATGCATGACTTCCGGTTTTGATTATTTTCCAATGCAAAGTTCAAACCAGAAAAGCTATACAGTTCTAGTGTTTGCTGCATGTGAACCAATAAAAAAAAAACTAATCATAACGAAGGCAAGGTGTAAAAAAATATATTCGAGGACTGATATCTTAAGTTTGGCCCGTTTAAACCTATTCCATAGAGCTTATTTCCATATTTTGAGCTACTTTTCCCTCGATAGGACTTTTATGATATTTATAGAGCTTCTTATTAAGACTTTAGTAGGCTTGTTGCACATTCTATCTGAGAGAAAGGAATGTAATTTCCTTGTAAGATATTTTTGTCAGGTAACTGTTCTATCATTGGATGGTGACATTAAAGAGATTGCAAAGAGGTTTTCTTTTTACTAATTTTAAAATAGGCTTTGTCACAAACTGTAGATTTTTTATATCCATCTATATTACATCTACCATTAGAACTTAATCTTAGCTCAAAACCTTGTAATCTGAATTGATCTGTAAAGATAACATAAGATTATTTCTATAAAATAAGAGGGAATTACTATCATTAAATTGGTCGAGGTAAAAAGCATTCTATAAATGATATTCAAATCTTCATTTTTGCACCAGTACCAGTGATAATAGTTCTAGATTTTTATCTCAAAGAACCAACAAACCCAAATAGCAAATCAAATTTGCAATATGATTGGGCAAACACATGTGCCAGTAAGTAGTCGTTATCTATTATCCCCATCAGAAAATACGACTTCAATATCATACTAGAACTGTGAACAGAATAGATCTAGTCATTTTCAATACAAGTATCTTAGCTACCGCATTTATTTATTTAATACAATTTTATCTTAGACATGTTTTTCATTGAAAAGTTTATTACTCTTAATAATTCAATTGATATTTGATTTTCATAATTTTTCATTTTAATGGTGTAAATATACCTTTTATATATATTTAAAAATGTTTTTTAATACTCCCCATCATAATTCATCAGTATGGAGTAGTCTCTATAGCCCTAGTCTAAAACAGCAGTATACATTCCCCTTAAATTCAGTGTCGACACTAGCAGACGATGCGTTAGTTTTAACTAGAGCAGATTACAGATTTTGAGGTTTTTTTTTAGAAATATCTCTCTGGATCAGGTCTATACAAAGTTTAAAGGTGCTTAGGCCAGAAAGGGCTTATACGATTTTTGAAACAGACAGACGTGCTAAGTTCAAAATGTTTTTAAATTTTCTTTAGTGTAATAATTTTATCTTTTAATTTAGATAAGTTTAATAGAAATAAACGTTTATTTTCAAATGTTCCGATTTTTTTGTGTATTATTTTAATTTTATGTTATGATCAATAGCAAACTGAAATTCCCTGTAAACAAAGGACATCGGTGACATTTTTGGTGTTCAGTAAAGTCGTCTACTGATAAAAATGGGATAATTCGTCTGTAGTCAAAAAAATCAAAAGGCAACTCATCTATATCCCTTGAAATGAAAACGTGTAATGCGCATCATTCTTACCTTACCCTCCAGATCTGTAGAACTGTCATTGTAATTATTGCGGTCTTACGGAGCTCATCGACAAGAAAACAATCAAGAAGTTTGCATAACGCAGACACCATAATATTGAGTGGTCTGCAATATTATCTTAAATCGTTATGGAAGCCGGCTGCGGCCATATCTACTCTCGACTTCTCGCCCACGAGAAAGCTAAGAAACTCGACTTCTCGCCCACGAGAAAAAATGCGTGTGCTTTCGTAACTTTGTCATTAGTACCAAATTCCAACCTGTATATATATAATTGGTTGAAAATTAAATTCCAGATCATGTTTAACATGGCATAAGACGTCAGTTGATAGGCATATTCATTAGTTTCTGATCATTTCATTATAAATGAATACTTATTTCATCGATAATTCGAATCGAAGGACCATAGTTATATTACATAATAGGCTTATAACAAAAACACAATTTCCTCGCTTTCTTTTATTTTTCCTCGCCTTTTTCCTTGCTTTGTCGTCTCTCGACTTCTTGTGGGTAATGTGGCCACAGCCGGCTTCCATACATCAGTCTAAACTTCATTAACTTTCTCCAATCTTTTAATGTCATTATTGAATCAATCAATAGTTTTGGTATGCTATCGAATTTTGTTATATTCATTTCTATGACATTGAGTATAAATTGAAAAGTTCGCACGGGTATGAAGAAGTCGGGTGAAAGTTTTGTTTTTATATGAAATCGTCTACTATCAAAAGACTCCAGTCCAGTTCACGCATGGAACAGGTCGTGATACCTTCAAACCTTCAGTATAAATTGACAAAATAATAGATTCTAATTATTTGAAATATTGTTTAGAATAAAGAGTACAATCTGACTATGAAGACCAAAATTAATAGGATTTTTTGGAAAGTGAACAAATCGTACACTAGCAACCTGAAAATTTTCGGATGTTAATGAATTTCAAACTGTATCAACATATAGATAGATAGCTAAGGTCAGGGGCATTCTACACCTAAATTTTCAGGGTCATTGAAGGTCAAGGTCACGAGATAAAGACATTCAAATTTTAACAAAATTCCAACGGTAATAAAAAAAACCTTATTTAAGATGTAACAATGTTTTGATTGAAACCAAAATCATACAAATCGAATACAAAATGGCAAAATTTTTCCAAAAGGCGTCAATCTGTGATTTTTGTTGTTGTTCTACATGGTTTATGCAAATTAGTTATATAGATGACAAAATGTCTGATTTACAACAGAGGAGGGGTCACATGGAGTGATTTTGAGAAGCAGGAAGATCTCAAAACAAAAACGGGAGTGATTCAAAAAAATCTTATGTCGAAGTTTTATCTGTCTATATCCAGTAAATTTCAGATCGATCCTATAATTAGCGCCTGAGACAAAAAATTCAAATATTTTCATGGACATTTTTTATTTCTTAAAAAAGAATTGAATTTTTCCAATGCATCCGATACTCTTTGTTAAAGAGAACATAAAGAATGAATATTCGAAGTAAATCGATCCCCAAATAAGCTCTACAGCCTCCAAACCAATCTGCACATTGTGCAATATGTCCGAAGTTTAGATATACGATCAAACCAGAAATGCTAAACCAGTTCCAGTATTTGCTACATGCGCGCACGAATAATAAAACTATTAATCATAATGAAGAAAAGTCGTAAAAAGTAATTATTCCATAGACCGACATCGTAAGTTAAACCAATTTGAGCTACTTCCCCCCACCCCACCCCTGACACAAGGAAAGTAATTTCCTTGTAAGATATGTTTGTCAGGTAACTGTTCTATTATTGGATGCTGACATTAAAGGGATTGTAAAGAGGTTTTCTTTTCAATAATTGAAAAATATGCTTTATCACATCTTCGTAACTGCTACACTGCAGTTGATTAGCGAAATTGTTTTATCTCGACATTATCTTTTCATGACGTGTGGGCGGGGACGAAAAGGTATGAAATTATGCACAATAACGAAGATGTAATGTAGATAGTGAAATGATGCAAAGACAATTATGATTGTTCAATGTTCAATTTTGTTTGAAGCAAAAGCCGTATTAGACATAATAATTCTGAATACGACTGACCTCCATATTAAACTACTGAGATATAAATATTAAACATTATATTGTCTCTGTGTCCAAAAAACTTTGAAGATATACCTTAATAAATATCTCTCCAATCTATTTATTTTATTAATATATGTTTACGTTTTATCTTTGTACATTTTATTCTCATGTAAATTTGATGTACTCTCGCGCCATGATGTTTATCAATGCTTTGAATCGGACCCAGGTGAAAAGAAATATTTTCGTTCGACATTTTAATGTTTTTTGTTGCTTGATTTCTATTTTCACATAAATTTCAATGTCTGTCTGCAAATATAAGAATCAGAGGTGTTTCGTCGAGTTAGTCGTTCAAAATTATCAACGAGCTGACAGAATTTCTTGGGATCTACCTATTTACTAGACTAATCATTGTTACAGTAAATATACTAC